CAAAAAAACAATCAACTGTTTCTAAGATGAATCAAAAAGCCAATTAGACAAATAATTTAAGATAACGATGTTGTTTCTTCTTTCTTATACCTATACATATTTTCTTCGTGATTCTATATGAAACAGAATTCGTCACATAACCTGTGAAATTACTCTTCTTTTTTTTTTTCTCAAAGATCCGCGGAATTGCAACAATCGATCCATGAGATAATATTCTAGATAGGAGAAAATAGAGTAGCTAAACCTTGGTCCACCGTGATTTGGAGCTTGTCGTAGGTCATCAGGGTCTTCTGGTTACACTCGTATGTTCCTTTTCCTCTGGCCAGGACCTCACCATCTGCATCTATGATCCCCTCCTTGGTTAGGTCGTCAGCTCGTGGACCAGGCTCCAGAATGAATGCCTTCACCTACAGTTTGTCACAAGAAAAGGAAGTTGGAGATAAGATTCATATTCACATGAACATGCATGCACAGATAAGAGTTGCAAAGCAAGACCATGGAGAACAGGGATTCGTCCATATACCCCTCACCCTCTATGGAAGTCAAAGAATATTCACACAAGTAGAGAAACACCTTCACAATGCACAACCAACAGATAAATATTCAATATTAAGATAAGTTGACAGCCCCTAAGAGTACAAACTCACCTTAAGGTACAAGACATGTGGTGATTTGACATGGCCTCCGTTGCTCAATTCAGTCATCAATGTTAGCAATGGGAACTTTGGGCAATCCCTAATCAAAATCAAGTCCAAATACCCATCTGAGAACTGCAAAAAGAATACAACAGGTCATTAAAAATCATAAAGTAAATAGAAATGTGAGGCCTCCATATCTATACAAGAAGTTACTAGACGCAAATCAAGATTTAAGTAAATTTTAGAGTCCATATGCAATAACACAATCTCCTACTTAAGCTCATGAGCAGCGCTTTTTAAACCTGTTTCTGAGAGAGCATTCATGATAAATAATGTCTAAAGCTCCCAAATGTGGAAATGGAATGGGCCGAATCAACACCTTCGCAAATATTCAAGTCAACAAATCTAAAAGGTAAAATAATAGAATAAGAAACAAACTATCTCTCTCTCTCTCTCAAAAAAAAAAAAAAAAAAAGAAAGATTTCAGATGAACTAGACTCTTATGGGAAAAATACATTTTAAGCACTTCATCAGATAATGCTGTCAGAAAGAGAATTTAACTAGGTGATGCAAACACTGGTGCAAGTGAAATACGTTTGTGTGGCCTTCTAAGGACCAAATAAGAATTTTGTTATCAGGAAATTGTCATATTTCTCAAATATCCCACACAACTTAAGATAAGCATGGAAGTTACACATCACAAAGCCAAAGAGCCAAAGAGCCAAAATAATAATATAAATGTAAGAAAACCGACAGATATGAAGTTACATGAAAAAGAGACCAACTTCAGCATTAGGTGCTGCCATGGTGTCTTCACCTCCCCACGGTACATTATGAAGCCAGACTGAAACAAACGGACCATCAATCTTCCTCCAATTTAAATTTTCCAAGTCAACATTAGGACCACTGTAGCCACCCTGCTGAAGCTTCACAGGCATTTCTAGACTTGAATTGCAGATATTTGGTTTGCGAATAGATTCACCCTTTTGACTGCTTGGCTCTCCATGAGATTCATAACCAGGCGCAGGTACAAACATAATTCGACCGTTGTATTTCCTCAGATTAAATATCCGTTGAAAAGCCTAGAACAACAGCAATAGTAAAAAGATCAAACAATTGATATGATAAAACTTAGTTTACTAATTTTCTAAACAGCTTTTACACCTGACAAGCTGTTCTTTTATTTTGGCGTTAGACAGCAATATCATAAAACCATCAAAATACACCATTAATATAAGCACAAATGGTCCTTTGTGGGCATTTTCAAGTAATACTGATAATGGATCTGTCCATGTTTACCACCTGCCAAGCCACAAATTTTACAAGAATATACCCGGATTAATAGAAAGAACTCAGGTTTGATAGTTAAAAGGGTGGCTTACACTGTCGTACAAGTGGGACACAGTGTGAAGGCAAGTATTCATAGGCACGTAAATGATGCAAGTGAATAAGAGTAATACTGAAGTAACTGAACCATTAAGGTAGCTCTTAAACTTGACAACTCTCATCAAGGATAAAATAGTTACTTGAATCATTTTGATAAACAATAATATTTTAATCATTTAACTAATATTTCATATTAAAAATTGAAACCTCATAGATAATGGAAACCAAATCAAGATCTCTATTGCATAATGAGTAATGTGATCATAACTTCTATTTAGGGAATTAGGTGGGCACTTTTATCAATTCATAATAAGACAGACAAATGTAATCATTACAATCACGTACTACTAGTAACATCTACAATAGTAGCAACCTGAGTGCTTTGAAGTAAATAGAGTCGCTCATGTTAAATTTTTAACATAAGCAATGAGCTCACTATGTATTGGACAACCTCTAAATTATGTTCAATGCGAAACTTGACCTGCATGATATATATATCTATATATAGAGAGAGAGTGTGTAGTGCGATCATGGAGACTCTGCACCACAATCTTTACTGAGTACTTTTTATGTAGACCGTTAGATCATGATTTAACGATCACTAGACAAAGATGCTCAAAATTAATTATCAATACTTACCAAATTTGGTTCTTCATTAAATAGGAAATATCTATGACATATTTATTATAATCTAGTCCTATTAGAAAAGTCATAAAGATTAATAATAAAAAAAATTATGACTCCTCTTAATTATTAACGGGGTCGACCCAATGATCCGGATGTTTTTTATCTTTATCCATCTAATTTATTATATCTGTTTAGGTTAAAAAAATTAAAAATAAACAAAATGGATTGTAGATATTTTCAATTCTATGGTAAAATTATCAAATAATGGGTTAAAAATAAACTAAAAATAACAGGTTGACCCACTATGTGGGTTCAATTGGGGCACGTCATTGTTGGGTAGACCTTTCTAATTATTTGGTCAAATTACCAATTTGTCCTCCCTCTTTTTTTTTTTTCATTTTTTGGAGCATTATATAAATACTAGTTTGTCCTCTTAATACCACAATTTTACAATTATTGAGGGAGATTAGTTAATTAGGAGTGCTTATTAAGTTTCAAATTAGGATTGCATATCAGAACTCATAAGTCATTGCCATCATTCTTTTATTTTTAAAAAGTAAATCCACAAGTCCTTGCATAAGCATTGTAAAAAGTAAATGCTTCATCAATAGACTTGAATTCTTTCAGAAAAAATGGTTTTACATCTGTAGACACAGAAGGTATGATTTCAATCCTTTCCATATTTGTCGTTATGTCAATTTTCCACACTTGCACAAAAAACCAGTTAAATTGATATAATTTAACTACAAAATAAATTACCTCCAAAAAACAAAAACAAAAAAAATTGATTGCCAACATTTTAAAAACATGGACAAGTAATATCACTACTAATGTTCTAATATTCTAAATTTCAGTAATGGGGACAAGTAATATCTATACGGTGGAATTTGACAAACATATTGCACTTTCATCCCCAATAAAAAGAAAAGGGTGTAAGCATTAAATTGAAGTTTAAAAAAATTAAACTGGCTTATTAAATTAATTTGTCAAACATTAACTCATCAATGCTACCACTTTTGGACTTTTAACACAGAAGCCACATCACCAAAGCCTTTAACAACCAATTATTTAACCAACTAAACAATCAAGTAAACTATTCAAAAGACTTAAAGTGTTGTTGGGCATGCATGTAGCAAAAGGCTGAATCATGATGTAAGAAATTACCTCTAGATAGACGGCAAGGGTAGCACAACCGTTGCATTACTAGTCTGCTATGAACATTTGTGCCTTCGGTAGGAGATAGACATAAGAGCAGAGTTTGAATTTAATTTTTTTTTAACCCAAACGGGTATAATAAATAAGATGGATAAAGAAAAAAATCATCCGGATCATTGGGTCGACCCATTAATAATTAAGATGAGTCAAAAATTTTATTATTATTATCCTTTAAGACTTTCCTAATAGGACTAGATTACAATAAATATGTCATAGATATTTCCTATTTAGTGAAGAACCAAATTTGGTAGGGCTTGATAATTAATTTTGAGCATCTTTGCCTAGTGACTGTTAGATTATGATCTAACGATCTACATAAAAAGTACCCACTACAGACAATGGTGCAGAGTTCCATAATCGCACTACTATATATATATATATGGAAGAGAAACTCATTACACAGGTGGGAGCCTGAAAATGTGGGCCCCTTATGAATTTATTCGGTGGTGTTAATTAGTTTCTCATGCATCCAACGGGTAAAACTTTGTCATTTAGACAAGAGTATAATTAGTTGTAAGCAAAACTGATCATACAAAAGCTGAAATTCTATGGTTAATAGCATGTAACACTAATTACCAACCAACATGATTTACATGTTACGTTGGAACCATAATAACACAACAGGGTAATAGAACCACATCATAGGACTTACATAGAAATCAATACGAGCACTTCCCATCCACCTATATCTCTCAGACTCGATGTCAATATCTGCCACCAAACCTGGTGGATAATAGAATATTGTTATGAGAAAGAGATGCATTTAGTTTGAAAAACCAATGCAAGTAATGTATTTCCTCAGAGTACAATCAACAAGAACCAGTATTCTGAAGAAAACACATATTGAACTAATAATCACTGAAATTTTCATTATACCCCATGCAAGCATCAAGACACTAAAGAACCTAGTCTCCCCTTGCAAGATAGTAGCTATATCCAGTGAACGCTTGTGTCCTGCCAATGATTGAAACATAAAGTAGACAAATTCTTAAATCAAAAGGACATGTCTTGGGAAATTAATAGCAAAAATTAAACAATTTCAAACCAATGTAACCTCGAATCACAGAAAGAATAGCATTAGAGGCTGTACATGGATCACCAACTGAATCCAAAAGAGATTTTATCATACCATTTCCTGTACCTGCATCCAAAATGGTTTCAATGTTCAGACAAACGAGTCATGAAAACTCTGATGGTCCACATAGAGAAAAAAAATTCACCCTTAAAGCAAACAGGAAAAAGATCAAATGGAGGTGCATGAACTTTGTCCATTGAAGTTTGTTGATGGCGAGCGAGGCATCATAGTTCATGTAAATCAGGTCAACATAATTTCTTGACTTGCATTGTTGACAGTTGTCATTTTAGATGCAATTTCCCATCATTCGGTGGGATACAACGAGGCTACTAAATGCAAAAGATGCCAGCAAGAACATGACAATCTATTAATTTCATGTACTTACAATGCTTGTTATTTACCTAATGTATTGTTTGAAAACATCAAGGGTAAAAATGTAGCAAAGTATAAAAGAGAAATAAAAGGTGTTATGTACCTGCAGGTACTACTCCAAGAGGCATTTTTATTGCATCATTCCAATCCTCCCTTTCAAGCAGTCCATTTACTACCTACTAAAACTTGTAAATCATGTAAGAAAGAGCACAGAGGTCACAATTAAACTAATAACTTGGGAATTTAGATAAAAATTCATGTTTGTACAACAAAAGAATATAAATAGTTACACAACAATTAAGCATAACCAACTTACCTCAACCAAGATTCCATCCCCACTAACACAAACGATTCCATCATATTTCGTGAGATCCAATGTTTGAGTGATTTCCTTCGCATGAAGCTGATATTTAGTTTCTGAGGATAAAATTAAAAAAAAAACACACAAGCATGAGCAACAATCTAAGTAATGCAAGGCCTATAACCACTGATAAACTTAAAAAAATAAGGATTACTAACCTTGCAGTGTATATTCGACATTAGCATCCTCGAGTAGGGGTTTTACATCATCAAGAAAAATTTTTGAAGCAGATTTCTTCCCTCCAAATGGGTTTACGAATATAAATAGCCTCTTCGGCCGACCTGTCCAGAAATGAGTATATAAACAAGGTGACGATACCACAGGTGATAAATAGAAGTATGCAAAGGTAAGAATTGGACAACTAGAATGGTGGAACCATTAAGGAATAGGCATCCCGGTTCAGTTCCCATCATAGATCATAGATGGGAGCAGTGTGGGGTGAAGAATTACATTCTATGGCTAACAATCAAGACAAAAGGAGAACACTTGGACTAGCATTTAATTTTATATTTTTTGTTCAGCTGTCCGGGATGTCCGGGTCACCTTATGCACACCTTGACTAGTCCCTCCCCAGTCTTGTCAAAGTCAAGTCATACATGTCAAGACTAGAGTATTCATTAGGATAAATCTCTCGTAGCCCGGCACGAAAGAGTTGTCAAGATTTGAACTTATGACGTCTCGTCCTTGTTACCCTTAAGTTCCCCTTGAAATTGACAACTGACAAGCATTTAATATCATAAAATAAATAACATTAATCAAGCATTTAACAGCCTAGAGAATACAAAAATTGCAAATTGAAAATTTTGAAACATAATCAACAGTCCTTGTTGGGATGCATTTTCTCAGCAACCAAACAAACACTACTAATCGCACAAAATAAATCAATATAGTATATTAAACAGATGAAACTTCAAGCTCAATTCAATTTCATTAGTCATAATGTAATTTGACTTCGAATTCATAACATATTTAAACATTCAATAAAAGTCGATTTGATTTAAATATTACCGAGAGAATCAATGTATTCTTGGAGCTTTAGAGACCAAAGCCGCAGAGAATCCTGTGATGAAGGCTCGAACACGAAGGTCTTCCTCACCGGAGCTCCTCTGTTCCCGAAACAATTGATTCCAGCTCCGCTCTCGACAATAGCCTTGATTTTGATTTTGGAGCCTTCGACATAGAAACCGAGGATTTCTTTCTCCACCGTCAAGGACCGGTCGGAGCACTGGAGTTGTCCGTCGGCGGTCAATGTTAATGGCGTTTCGGTTCCGCTGATGAGCACACGGTCTGAGAGTATGGGCTCTTGGAGTTCCGTCTGATCCATTTCCGTTTCAACGGATTGTTTCCAGTTTGGGCTTATTCATGGGGCTGTTGGGAAATCCGGTTCAGGTCCGAGCCGGATTTATTTAAAGGTTAGTTGGTTTGTTTGCTTTCGGACGTTGCCTTGTGACAAGGGAAATGCTATAGTCACCTTATGTGACCGGGATACGGGTAGTGTTCTTATGAAAATAAAATCTAAATTTAACTTCTAATTAATTTGGGAGAGGCAGGCTAAAATTTTGGGGGTTTTGCACTTTTGTACCCCAAAAGATTTTAATCTTATCATTTTATACCTTTAAAAATTAAATTTTTACATTACACCATCAATGTATCAAAAGTGTTATAATATAACCCTACATTAACTTTCGTTATTTTTTTTTGTTAAAAATCAACCAATTAACACTGACAAAAAAATTAACGAAAAACCTAAATGTATTGAAGGTGCAATGTTAAAATTTAATCCTTAAAATATAAAATAAAATTTTTAAAATCTTTTAAGGCCCAAAGTGTAATTTAAGCTAAAAATTTTTGAATAATTAATTATTTTTTTCAACCCCAACTTTCTTTTTCTTTTATCTAGTCCGTGTCTTGGTTCTTTTTCTTTTAAATAAGAATATGTATCTCGTATGGGCCAATATTAAATTTTATTTCTACAAAAAGCTTGTCCTATTGAAATTGGAAGAGTCGTATCATATAATTTTTTTTTTTTTTTTTTAAAGTTTTAAAATTTGTTCAACTTATTCATTATACAAAATATAAAAATCATATCATTTTCCCGATGCTATAAATAAGTTTATTAAAATTATATGTTTTGTAAAATTGGGCTAAAATAAATTCTATATAGATATTTTTCGCTCACGACATAACAAAAGTTGAAAAAATGGATTTTTTAAAACCACTTTGAATCATGGAAAGAATTATAAGAAATAATCAAAAACAAAGGGTATAAAATGAAACGCTTGAGCGCTTTCTTTTCTTCTCCGTTCAAGCAGTATCTAGAGAAAAATGAGTAAAGGATGAAACTACTTTTAACATACCTTGTTAAAGTTGGAATCTGTCCAACCTTGCAGAAGTAAAGGGTCCATTCGTTTGTTTTGTTTGTGGCGGAGATAACTATGGTTACCATTAAATGTCTTCCAAAAGGAATTTTATAAACTAACAAATAAACAGAGAGAATAAGCTAGGTCAACATCACAATTATACACAAATTGAAAAAGAAAGTGGTGAGTGATAATTAGAGATAAACTGCAATCATTCTGCATCAGAGACATCGTCTTCATCTTCCTCAAGGATGTAGACCAAAGCACGCTTTCTAGCAGCAAAAACACAAGCCACACCTCTGGATGCTGACACAGTAAATTTTTCATAAATTGTCACACACCGTGTAATGGTTCATTCATGCTTTATATATCATGGTATTGGCTAACAAGTTGAGTGAGACTTGTGGGTCAGAAGAAATGTGTATCAGTATTGGAATAGAAGGTGCAGAGGTCATATCGGTATCAACAAGTACTTTGAACCAAGAATGAATTAGCGTTGTGTGCATTTGATGTAAATCAAAGGCGTCTATGGGACTCCTATTTTAATGGTACACTACGAACATATGAAGCTGCTGTTTTAATAGTAAAGTTTTCAAGCTTTCAAACACAAGATGCTGCCAAAGCCATTGAAGCACAAAGGTGCATTTGTAAGGAAGGATAGGTTCAGGGCTGAGATAACTGCAATGGCTGCATTTTAAATGCTCAGTATTATCAATTGAAAATTTCAGAGTTCAAATGGTTATGTAAGTGCCCCAAATAAACAATTAATAAGATGCACAAGACGGATAATTAGAAAACCTGAAGTTGCTTTAATATGAGTCGGTAATAAGCATTTGATTAATGGTTGAAAAGTTTGAAGGATAAAATCATTTAAAATATACTCCTTTGCAGATTAATGTGCAATTCTCACTATGAATGGTCTTCAATTAGTGATTTTATGCAAGCATTAAGCAATATAAGGAACACAATGACCTTACATATAGAAAGAAGCACTCACCACTAACCGCCAAGGGAGCAATTACGGAGTGAGGAATACCTCGAACCTTTTCATTCTCCATTTGCAGGTAAACAATGGAATCCTAGAATTAATGTCTCAGTGAGATAACTATTTCAGTCAAACAATGTACAGCAGGAAAAAAAATGCCATACGGCGAGTACTCCACCCAAAGGCGAGAAGTGAAAACAGGGTGTGAGGATGCTGAGGTTGGATCAATGTCACCCAGGTTATTATTTCTCCTCTCACTACTTTTGATGGAAAATAATTAAATTAACGGCAGTACCTATATTCTTTAAAAAAACAAGATATATAAACTAGACAGAAGCAACCCTACAGTAGTGGCCCTCCATAAGAATATTGAAGTTCATGGGAAAAAGAATTTAAGCATGCAATAACTTCAAAACCTGCTGAGTTCCCCATTAATAGTGATACTAACACTTCCCATATTTGAAGTCAAGAAGGATAAATACCTTTAATTCATGCAATTTCCAATAGTTCAGATTAGTAGATCTTGCAATAGGTACAAATGGAAGGTCACTTGCTTGTACAATCATCATACAAGCATTTCTGGAGCTTTCAGAAGTAACGGTTGTTTCATTTAATAGCAGAACAATTTGACCTTCCTGCTATCAGAGAGAACGAATTACATCACATTTAAAATACAAATATAAAAAACAAGGCATTGATTACAAAATTCTTATTATTTACTTTATATAGGGACAGATCCACACATTGATACCGATCAGGAACACATAACAAGACAGCTTCCAGAGAAGTACCCCCCTCGTCTGCACTGGCCAAGTCATGCATAAACCCCCTTGCCAAGCCTATGCAATTTGCAGCATCGGTGAAAGACTCATCAGGTATTTGAAAAGAGATGTAATCAACAAGCTTTTGCCGTTGAGTTTGATGAGCTGAAGCAGTTTCAGAAGCTTCCTATACAGCAAAAGAAATCCAGTTTGTATTTAGTTCAGGGAGCCAAACATAAATAAATGTGAACCACCAACAAGGCTTACTGTAGGGTTGCTTCATGAAACAAGGAAAAAATTAGTTGCATTAAAATGGTGTCAGAATATGGTTTTCTTCTACCAATCTTCATTATATTTCCACGAGTTGCAAATATCCAGGAACAACAAAACATAAAACTTGGTTGCATCACAATAATGGTATCAGAGTAAGGTTTTCTTCTACCAATCTTCAATACCTCGAATCCCAAGGCCGGATGAGCAAGAAAACTGCAAGCGCATTTGAGCACCTTGCAAATATCCAGGAACAACAAAATACAGCCCAAACTAAATATGGTTTTGCACAGAAATGGCTAATCAGTGTGTGGTCATATTAACTCAACACCAACATCATATGACGACCAGAATTTCAGTTGATAAATTTCTCTAATCCATTAGCATACATGTTTATATGTGTTACATGTGTATTGATCAGTATTTTGACCTATATGTATAACAAATTAGAATCAAGAAGATGTCATTTTTTAGCTTCTCCATTAAAATGTGGGGTTCTCTCACGTTTGAAAGCTGCCACGCCTACAAAATTAAGACCAGCTCTGTTTCGCATAACACGACTAATACTTCAATTTATAAATCTTGCTGTCAATCAAAAAAAAAATCATAACAATTTGAAATGGGATACATGTTTTGCAGGATGACTGACGTCATTCTTTAATATTTGTTGAAAAAATGGATTTGAATTAAGAGTGGTTTTGACATTTGGGGAGGTTTTCTAGTCTACATCTTTCATATGGTCATCTAGTAGATTTTTATACATTAAAGTCACCCAATTAAACACTTGAGCACAGGAAGGAATCATGGAACAATTCTGTGCTTCACTAGATACACAAACCTCTTCAGCAAAAAAGGGAAAAAAATTCAAGTTCCTTTCAGATCATCTGCCTTATGGTAGCATCTTTCCCTTCCAAAAAATTTTATTTTACTTCACACCAATTCATGTCTACTAAATAATGAAATGACAACAAAGAAGAACACACACAAGATGGAAAAAAAAGTAGCAACAAAGAAAAGGGTAAACAAGATGAAAAAGGTGGTAACAAGTGGCTGATAGTGAGTAGAACACAGAAAACCATTGAATTCCACCAATTCAATAAAGATAGAGAATATTTAAAAAAAAAAAAAAAACTAAGATTTGTGATAAGTTGAAAAACATATGTTATGCATTGAAGAAAGAAGTACCTTATAGTATGATATTGATGTTGGAACAGCAGTAAACACAGAACTTGGTGAAGATGCAATAGGAAACAGTGGCAGCAAATCCTTACAAAGGAGTTGTTTGGAGATTGTATTGAAGGGCATCTGAAAGGCCACCTTAAAGCTATAATGGGCACCAGATTAAGGCATTAATACCATAGACCCAAGCAACAGAAAATAATTGAAATAGATACCTATAAGCTAAGATCACAATGTGAAGCACAGATTTCCAGAATTCCATTGTAGAAGGAAACACAATAATCATAATAAAAAGCCGCTGGGATGCTTTGTTACTGATAAGAAACAAAGTAGAGCTAAAAGCAACATGCATGGTAAAAAACATAGTGCACATCCCCTAGAAGACAGTAAAATTTATTATTTAGTTCACATTACCAGCTGGCTTGTAATCCAAGTGTTAGCAATTTTCTACTACATTTTAAGCAACCAATAGGAATAATTATCTAAAGGTCGTGGCTTTTTTCTTTTTCAAATTCTTAGGTTATCATACATAATTCACGGGCAACAATTAGGTCAACTTTGAGCTATCTGCTCCATGCTTCTCTTACGAGAAATGTTGAAAGAAATAAAGCAGATGTATCATCAAAACAAATTGTCCAAATCAACTTTTAAGTTGTAAGCCTTAGAACTGATGCACGCCATCCTTAACGATGATGTCTCCTGACATTATGACAGGATCATGTTATGCCATATGGAAAATGAGAAAAGGGAAGAGGAAATGGAAAATACCAAGATTCCATTTCTTGAAATTCTTTTGCTAATGTCCTTCGCAAGTATTCGGAATCTAAAAAACCCCCAAAATGAGTCAATTCCCTAACTCTTTTCATTGTTTCCCTGAAGAATCCAGCAACATCAAGAATCAATATACACTATAGCAATGATCTGCAATAATAAAAACATATGAGCAATACAAAAAGGCTAGCCTGCATAGAATGACAGAAAAGTTGCAGCTCTATCAGTATCCCTCAGAAATTAGAGAAAAATGGAGGTTTTAATCATGCAACGATTGAAAAGAAATTATCGTCTATCATTTCCAACCATGACTATTGGTGCCTAAAGGATTCATTAGATCCCTCAGCTTTATCCTCATACTTATCTTCAGACTTATTTCAATATCCTAAAGTTTAGGAACTGACCTAGTGCATTAGTGATATATACACTTAATATGCCACGCAAGCACAGTGCAGTCATAGTACTTTAACCAATGCACTCTCATTCTCAGATTAAGTATTCAAGTTCAATTAAAATATTTGAGAACTAAGCTCTTCCTCAACTGAAGTTTTAGGTTCACCAGGTTCTGGAATTCATACAATGTATGCTACAGGTAAAATGACACTGTTAGAGCATCAATTAAAATAAACTTCAGAGAACATAGTTCCTGTCCTCTAAAACAGGGCATAGCTGTTCTGTTTTAAAATAGTTCCACCTCCTTCAATGACTCCACAAAGGATTGATGGTGGTGAAACTCACCTTTTTTTGAACACAAGCCTTTTCATCACTCTATTTATCAATGCTGGTATCATCTCCTAACTCACAGATTCGTGTGTTTTTTCTCATTGCTTCAAGACACATTCTCACAGCTTTGAGAGAATGTATATTCCAGCTATGCATACAAGCAAGCCTCTTTCTTTCTGTCTTAGGCTGGGAAGTGTAAGCTATAAGATTCAAGTATCAGAGCATAACATGCGTGCAGCAAAGTCTCTTACCTTGTTTTTAAGTAGTGAATTACTCCAAGTACAGGACCTTATATTTATAACAATATGCAGCTTTATGAGTATTTTCAAAGGCTACCGATAAGCAGACAAGAGCATGTAGACATGAAAGACGATTCGAACTTGTCAACTTCAAATAAATCATCTGACAAGGTTTTTAATGGCCAAAAAAGATTACTTACACGTCTGTTTCAATATTGTAATCAAATTCAGAGAGTTCCAGCAACTGCCTAATAGGATCTTGATCATGCAGAAACTTCAAGAATATAATAACTAGCTCACTGCAATAACGAGAAGATGTATAAGAACAATCCACAATTACAAAAAATCAGCAAATCACACATGACAAGAATGAACATCTGAAAGCCAAACCTACTGAAGGGTAAAAGTTGATCACTTGGTTCTGACATTAGTATCTTCACATATTTCAGAAGCCAGCTGAAGAAATTTGAAAACTGAAACAAAAGACTATTAGAGTTTTACAGAAAATGAAAAACAAACTCAAGGGAAGGGAGTGACATGGAAAGGCACAATAATGACATGGGAAAGTAAAAGATAGAGCCACTGTATGTATTTGACCAAAGAATTTCATCAAAACCATCTTGCTGTAGAATTGCATGACTTTCATTTTAAGCTCAAATGATCATCTTTGACCCTTCATGGCATACATATTCTTAGAAATGATTAAAGCCCTTTTTGAGGGCTGAACATGTACGCATATAAAAAGAAAAAAGTAGAAGGATAAGCTTATGTTCCCAAAGAAAACAAAAGCACGGCATCCATTTAAGTCCAGAGGTTTAAATCTGAACTTATATTTCTGAATCCACAGAAGCAAACAAGCATCTGCATAGCAGTTTGACTTATGATTTAAATAACTGAGAAAAAGAATGACAAACTACCAGCAATAACTAAAAGTAGGCAAATAAATTCTATGTGCTCATACTTCCACCCATTCTTTGTATGATTCTGTTTTCAAGGGAAAAAAACTCATATCAGGATGCAGAGATGAACCATCACAAATTTTAAAAGTTGAATTGAGACACACTATTCATAAATGAAGGAATATGGAAGGTTAAGAAGAAAAAGACTTCGTATCGATGAAATAAAAAATCTGAAAGATCACAATTATTGGCTCCATAATAATCAGATTTGCCTCTAACATGTAAGATGTATTCCTAAAATAAATGCACAGAAATTACAATCTTAAAAGGTTTACAACATTGTATGTCATGTAAAAGTAGAAGGATAACTTGTATAACGAAAATTAAGACATCAATAATTCAACACTCAGTTGTCCAATTTTCAGCTACTCTTTAAGGTTCAGTAACCTTCTTGAGGCTGGAATGATCTTCTAACCACAATCTTGATGCACTAATTTGGGCAACAGTAAAATAAACTAATCGAAGAAAAAGAACACAAAAAAGTTAGCTTTAACAGTCACAAGAAATGCAAAACCTGAGGCACGTAGCACAAACTTGCACAAACTTATACCTCCAACAGTACTCCTAAACGGCGAGTGGGGGAAGCAAAGATGCATTAGATAGGAGCATACCTGCTGCACCACAGAGGATAGAACCCTCATAAAACGTTCAACTTGTATAAGAAACATCCCAGCTTTTTCTGTTGCATTATCCATTAGTGTCTCATCCAAACCAATACCCTGATATCGTGCACGCCATTTTGAAAGGCCCCTCAGTTCTCCCATTCTGAATGCAACAATTTCTGCAGCAGGCTGGGAAACAGAGGTTTAACTTGTTTTAGTTTCCATTAAAACAAACTAAAACCAACTGACAGGCATACAACTCATAGAATCAGAGTGCCCTAATATGAATGTGTCGACATTGTTTAAAACACTTGATAAACAAGATAATTAGATTTGCACCAGCACCGATCATCAACAAATCAGATCCTGCTAAACCCCATATTAGTACGCAATCCAAGGATTATGTGATCTGTTGAAATTTGTCCACTGTTTTCATCTGTATTAATTACATTTCCCTCACCCTTAGGCCTTACTCATACTCATCCGCTCTTATAGAGTATCTATGACTGTCAACATTATTCTAATGACTGTGTCCCAAACATAAATAACCATGTAATATAAATCAATTTACAACACAAAAATTGAATCAACATAAAGCACCAACTATCAGGTAACTTTAGAAAGTATATAATAAACCAATGGCAGAGAGGAACTTGATGCATCTATCACCATCTGTATGTTCAATATCTTCACAGAGAAAGCCTTGGGCCTACTAAATGAAAAATTAACTTCAGAGACATATATAATAGTGCACCTGTAGATGATCAAGGACAAGTTGCTGAAGCTCTCTTCCAGCGCCACAAACCACCTTTGCAACCCGCTTGAGACCCTAATAAGTAATAACCTTAGGGCATCAGACACATTTTCACATTTTCCCCTCTGAATTTACATGCTTCAAATAAGGGGAGAAGAATACCGCTTCACCAAGAGAATTAACTAGAAATTGATGTACTGGTGGACTTGTCCGAGCGCCACCTAAAAGGCTTAGGAACTCCTCTTGGGGGGTAGAGTCCAGTCCTATAAATAAATGGTAGGGAAAAGTGAATGAAGAAAGCACATAAAACAAGATACACCACTAATTTGTGATTGTTTTTGGAAGTTACCATGGTCAATAATCAGAGTGGATAGAGAATCAAATTTCTCGTGGAATGCATGCATTGCATCAGACCATTGCTTAAACATGACTGAGAGTGATGCCCGGATGACTTCAATTAAATCCTCAATGTTAGAAGCTTGTTGAGCCACCTGATGAAGCTCATTTTTCCTACCGTTGGTGGAGAGTGAAAAAAACAGTAAGAATCAACTGATAACTGGTTCTCACAACTATTAGTCAAAAGGTCAAACAAAAATAATAACTTCAAGTCCAAACTTGACAATATTATATGGTCATTCTCTGGTTGACCAAAACTACGAAGCCAAACCAAATTAAATATAGTTAGATTTTGTTTTGCATACCCCCTAGTTATTGGAAACAAGAAATAAGATTATGTAAATCAACTGTTCTACAACACAAAAATTCATTGGAAACCATGGCCTGATAGAGAGACAACCAGCACGGAAAAAGATGGAAGATTTGAGAAATATTAAGAGTTACATTGAAAAAACAGGCCTTATCAAAGGATGAAAACGTGGTGGGGACGGAAAGAAGGACCATTTGATTAGTTGGAAGTTGGTTTCTATATCTAAATTAAATGTGATCTTTCAGTTGGAAACTTGGTTTCAACAAATGTAGTTTTAGTTGGGAAATGACCGGGGAAATATCTTTTGGAAAAACTACACAGGGGCATCTGGTTACCAAGAGAAAAATTGGATTACAAGCCAATGGATGTGATGCTAATGAAGTTGAAATTTGGAAAGCTTTGATGTCCAGCAGCCCATGAAAATCCATTTCTTAGGGTTTACCTAGTTCTTACACAATGTTAGGGGAGGCTGGGGAGTCTTCTAGATCATGTATGTTTCCTTGTATGTAATGATGTTCATGAAGTTTCTATTACCTCTAGGATTCAATAAATCATGGGTCACCTGATAAAAGAAATTGGGGTTTTCATTGTTTTGAGTTTCGTTTCTTACAAGTCTTGCTTTAAATTCTTGAGTGATCCTTCGCGTCCATTTTCTCTCCCATCTTTGGTGATATGAAAAACTAAAATGTATATTGCGGAGTAGGTTTGCGCATGGACTGTTGCTCATACAATATTAATGCCAATGATATTGTTCAAAGAAGAAGACCTCACACTTGGGTTTCTACATGATAGTGTGCACACGCCGATATGTTAAGGACAGTGCTAATCACCTATTCTTGCACTGTCCAATAGCATTGTCTTTATGGAACAAATTGTTTAATCAGACAGGCTTCGAATGGGCAAGTGCTTGGCCTTCTTTTTTCTATGTGAGTTAAGGATTTTATGGAATTAGGGCCACTCTGTGAAATTTACATCTACTTCAATATAGGACATCTGGTTGTGTGACGGTAGATGCAAGGCAATAGGATATTTATGGGATCGAATTTACTTTTTAAAATTTTTTGGGCTTCGATCACCAATTATTTTAGAGTGTTAAACCACCAACTTCTCTAAAAGCTTCCATTTTTTTGTCTATAAAAGTTCAAGTTATTAGAGAAGGTGAAACTTAAACATTTATATACTTTAATATGTCCCCTCATGTGCATGGTAGATTTTGGATAAAGCACTTGGAAGTCTTCTGATTATGAGATCCAAATGGAGGACCTCCTATTATGATACTTATTACTATGTTAAACCACCAACTAATTAACAAGCTTAGGTTACACCAGAGTATTTATAATTTTATATACTTCAACAGGGGGAACCACTCTCTTTTACATTATAAGGGAGTGGTGAGCTCCATGAGATTTATAGTTAGGCTCATCTGTAGCTAAGACCTATTTTATAATCATTGATTGTGTTTGTTTTTCCTCCTTAGGTTTGATGACTTGTCCACCCCTATGTCTTTCTTGTCTATTTTGTAAACCAAAATTGTTTCTTATAAAAAAAAAAGGCAATTTGAATACTCCCAAAGCTACCAATAAGGATGCAGACATAATCAAACAAAGCCAAGAAGCCAAAATTAATAGGTTAAATCCCAAAGTTCATATAATAAGCTCAAAACTACCAGAAGAAGTTATCATACAAGAAGGGGACAGTGGGACACATCAAGCAACAAGGGAATCCTGGTACTAAAACAAGGCCACAAACCATCCAAGGGATTTCACCAAGTGTAACTGTCGCTAAGAATGAAAACTTGATCCTTGGCTACCGCCCTCCATAGGACATTATTGAAGTGTATAACAAAAATGGAACTTGTTCACTAGATATTGCAGCTTTGTTTTACCTTCAACGATTACCAAGAGTTTTGTGTGATTATCAATGGTACTCCCTCCATTCCCTTTAAACATATAAGATGAGGAGATGTCGCCACATTTGTTCACTCTGACGCACAATGTATTCCAATTTCCAACACTGTGTTCTGCTTGGCTAGAACAACTAAGGGAGCTGTTACTTAATATTGTGATTTATGGATATCTCAATCTTAAAATGGCTTACGACCAAATACTTTCCCATAGTTATCTTAAATGCCTTCAAGTAAGCCTGTAATTAACCTTTTATAAAACTTCGAAATTAAGCTTGAAGCACTTTCCTGAGCAGTGGAATGGCTATCTTGCAAAAACAACAAAATGACAAATTAAAGTAACTACTGGAATCCACAAGTCGTAAGTTTCTGAAATCTTTCTATTATTCAGAGTTCTACGGCATAGTAAGGTTACCTCTTCCACAATATAGAAGTATCAAGCAGTAAGCACTGGAAACCAAGAAAATTATGTCCAGCAATCTGTCTTTCACTTGGTTCAACTCCATCTTCAAAAAGTTCCCCAGAGCACATAACTGTCAAATAACAAAGATCTTTTGACAAAGCCACCTAGGGACAAGAACGACCAAAAACATCAGATTACTATAGAAGACTAGCAAAGCTGTGAGAAGCAATTAAGGACTTCATTACATTAAAGAGAAGTTATTCATTCTAAATATCTTCTCTTTTAAAGAAGACAAGAACAATTCCAAGAGGTAGATCTTTCAACTAAGAAAATATACATCGTCATTGCCGGCGAATCGATAATTACAGACTAAAGATGACACAGTTTCTTCTTATTCAGACATAATGAGCCTGCCGCTAATGCAGCATTATCGCACTAGTCTTCAGGTTTAATTATTCTTATATAATGTTGAAAACGTAACTAGCTTTACAACAGTCTCATACTTAAAATGTAGGTTCTAAAACCAGCAAAATTGAGGTGAACATACCTTACTAATGGATGCATTCCGAAATCCGTAAGTAATTGGGGTACCCATTATCGTACTATGAATAGAAAAATTGTGTATATTCTAGTGACCGCAGATGTAATCCACATGCCAAAAATAAACATAAAAGGTGAATTGTTGAACAAATAGCTGTAGGTTCAAAAAAAAAAAAAAACTGAAAATCAACAATAGATAGCAGATTTTTCACGTACATAACCATGGTTATATCCAGTATCTTGATAATCAACTTACCACTTTTCCTATTGGGAATATGCCAAATATACTAAAGCAGATGCTTCCATCTTTGTCTCCACTGCATAGAATGTTAAATCGTTGATGTGAAGAATTTGACAGCTCCCGAAACGGTTCATCACCATCATCCATGAAGCCAGTGTCACCGGGCACCAAACCAGGAATACGAGGAGCTCTTGGAGGAGGAGGGAAGAAACGAGAAGTTCGGTCTTCATAAGCAGAGATTTTACTAGAGTCATCCTGATTTGCAATACACTAAAAGATTATCAAATGATGAGACAAAAAAAAATTTTCAAAAAATGCATTTTCCAAAATAGAAGGAAAATAAGTATTGAGCAAGTCATGCCTCTAAAATTAGAAAAAAGGAAGGGAAAAAAAATCAAATTGGGGTTGAAGTAGCACAACTTATGAAGATTTTTAACAGAAGAATACACCATTGCAAGAACAAATGCAGAGAAATCCATACTGCAATCTGATGTCCATTGTCCTCCCAGTTAAGGCACAAAATAGCAACGGTGTGTGACTTCATGCTTCGCAACAGCTTTCCATTCTGCTTTCCGTAGGCGTAGGATACAGAGATAGACATGCAAATTCGCTATGAATCAGTATCACTGATAAAACATAAAAATTAAAATAAAAAAACACAAAAACCTAGAAATATATGCAATTATTTGATTATATCAATTCCTTCTTACCAACCAGAACTAGTGATCTTACATGCACATGTCATCAAAGGGATTGACGTCATCTATCGAAGTGGAAACTGGGAAAGCCCTTCTTCAGCAATATTTATATATTTTAGTTTAAGTTCCAAAGAGCCAAAACTAAAATTTTTTAAATTGAATCATTACAGTATATACAACTAGATTTTAGCTTGCTAAGGTCAATGCATCAGGGTATCTGCCAATTTCACCATCATGGTAAAATGCAAATAAAAACATACAACGTATTTCTAGTATGTAGAATCACGCATACACAGATTTAAGTACGTAAGATGTTTGTGTGAGTATAAACATCATCAACTCCAAACATTTCATTCAAGAAAATAAAAGTAATTGCGCATTTGCAGCAAAAACTGAATAATAGTTAGGCTTGATCTGCGAAGTAGATTTTGAAGTAATAAATTTCTTGAAAGGCAAAGAACCTTTTTAAAAAAAATTCTCTCTGTGAAAAAGCAATAAAAACAGCTTGGTATTCAAGTTAGCCAAGATAGATAATATAATACTCCTTTGCAGTTTTAAAAACCCCAAAATAATAATCAGTGTTGCTCTCACTATCTTTGAGAGGGGATCATAGGGTCAAGGAAATAAAGTGTTTAGCACTTAACAAATACTTGCAAGGCAATCTTAGGATATAGAAATGCGAAGTAATGTTGACTCAATCAGATTTACATATGCCTTACACCAGAATCCAGATCATATACTCCTCTTCGGTACATTCTGTTTCCTATTTCACATGTTATGCTACTATGCCCAATTATTTTCTCTTCTGACCAAGACCAAAAAAATCCAGCAGTCACGCTGTTGCTAGTAGCCTAAGATGGGTTCCAGAACATTGCAGATTATGCGAAACATAGCAAAACAGCACAAGGAAACTCTTCAAACTCACTTCAACATCATGCAAAGAAATGGTCCCATCTTCAAGCCCAACAGCAATTGCTTTCCCATCAGGACGCCAACATAAGGATGTTATGCACCTTCCTAGATAAAATGCAGGGAAACCGTCAGTGAAGAATCATCAAAAAAACACTTCTTGCCTCTTTGAGAATAGTATGCCAGAATGAATGGATAAAAGGAAATATTTATTGTCAAACATGTGATTGACCAATTTCACACCAGGCTGTAGTTATCCAATTAATGGTAGTATCTCCAACTCAGATGTACCAATAAACTGTGAATGCATATGGAGATATTTTACCTGAAATCTAAAGTGTAATACAACATATAAGCCATCTATAAAAGATTAAAACAACAACTTTTTTCTATGACTACAAAGATCCCATAATTATGAAGAAGCAAGGAAATTCCACTAAACTCTATAATAATGGGTCAAGCACACTGAACAAGTTATCTAACAACAAAACAAATGGTTATGAAAACCCATGATAAAAGTGAGAACATTGCCCGCATGTATTAGTGCATACAAAGAGAAACTTAAAAGAAAAGCAGGTAGGCAATGGCGTCATAAGCCCTGACCCTACACTGCAGTGCCCCGAACCCACGCATTTGAGTGCATGAGTGACTCTGATACCACATGTAGTAAGTACACTCATGCAAAATGACTACTCAAGGAGATTCATTTGGGTTATTGGTCCTACATACATTCCCAAGATCCCCAGGAAAACTTCCGATGTGGAATTGTGTATAGGCCCGTCACATAAGCCAAAGTTGATGAGATTCAAATTCCATCATGCACATACACTTCGTCATAACTAACAGGTAATCATTCAACTCTGCAAGGCTGTAACTTGTCTACCTTATAAAAATATCTTACCCTAACATTTGAACAGTTCTTGTATCTTTAAACCCCCACCCCCAACTTTCCACTACTTCAAGACCCACTCTTCTCCGCCTTACTAGTCCCCACTTTGCAATATATATGCAGATGCTCAAACTGAAAATTCCATCAAACACCTTCAATGCTATGCCCAAGCTGCCCCCAAAACCAACATCCAATCCAAACCCAATTTGCAAACCTAGCACAATTGGAACTACTACAGTGATAAATAAAATCAATGTGCTCTACGTAAAAATCTAAATACAGAACTAGAACTATTAGCATTCCACTCTCTTCCGTATAATTGCACACAAACACTCTTGACACAAATATAAAGAGATCACCACTCACCAGGAGATATGGTCCATAGCCTCTGCCAATTGAAGCGATGTAGCAGAATCTTCGAGTCTTCGGTAACCATAGCCAACAAATCTTTTTCTGGGTTCCATTCAGCAATTTTGATCTTCCAACAAAGATACATAGAACACATGAAAAGTAGCAAAACATCTCTGAATAAGAATGTGTGTGTGTGTGTGTGTGTGTGAGAGAGAGAGAGAGAGAGTCTACGTTCGTATACAGTAAAATACACACACAAAAGGAGACTCAACATCTGAGTAAAAAACCTGAGAGGCGATGGGTTTGTCGAATTGAAGCTGAAATGGAAGTACTCGTTGTGCTTCCTCTGTTTCCATGGGTTCCGAAAGTCCGTAAATGGCGATTCTCTGTAGTCTTGAGATTTTGAAAGCGAAGAGTACCAGTGTGAGTAATTAGTATGGTGGTACGAGCTTGAGGGCGGGCGACTGTACGATTTCAATAATCGGGTCAATGATCCAGCCGTTTAAATTTGTGGGTTTCAAAATAGGACTAATCGCAGTTTGTACCTTGAAAGATTCTCAAATTTTCAATTTATACTCTGAATGATAAGATTTTTCAATTTGCGCCCTGAATGTCACAAAAACGATGCAGTGTGCACCGGTCCCAAACATCCGTTCGATTTACCGTCTGAAAATCCAACACATGACTTGCACGTGATTCTTACAGAGATTGAATTATAAAAACAAGTTCGTTTGGCTCCAAATCGAAGTTGGCTTACCTTTATCTTCGTATAAAACTGGTTGGGGAAAGTCAGATGTGCAAGGGAAGAAGAGGAATGAAAAGCTGGAAGAAAAAAGAGGAAGAAAAAGATAACAAACAGAGCAATAAATAGAAGGGGTCTACTACTGTGGTCAAAGGACAGCAATGAAGACCTCATGGACATACCTAAACCCTAGGAGGAGGTTTAAGAATTACGATAATTATGCGGTAAAACTTCACATCCCATTAGAAATTTAGCAATATTCTTGCAATTGATTAATTATGATGTGCATTTAAACCATTTTTTTCTCACCGATTTTTCACACATTATGGATTATAGTTGTTCTATTTCATTTGATTTTTTTATTTGAAAAAAGTCTTTTATGTAATTATTTTTGCACAGAGTAAACAAATATTTGTATTTTGCACTTGTAGGAAAGTGGTCTACGTGGTTATTTTGCTTGGGTTAATCCACCTATGTGTATACAATCACGACAAATGATACCCAACTTATTATGTCATGCAACAAACTTGGAGACACAGAGGAAGGGCAAGAATGTTATGGGTATGTTTGGTTGTTTCTTGGCTACTTATGATCCTAGTTTGTTGCTATAAGAGTGACCCCTTTGAAGATGGTATTGATGGAGAGCTTCCAACTGGTCACTGAGTAGTGAAGCTGATGAAGATAGATTTAATAGTTGTCTAAGTAGATGGATATATTGAAATTTTATGACATAGTTCTGTATTTAAGTATTGCAATGATAGTACGTTGTAATGAATATGAATTCTAATGGATTATGACTGAATCCCGTTTGTTTGAATTCAAAAGTCCAATTGAATATGAAATGGACAGAAACATCAGTAATACAAAATACCCAATAATTCCATTCAATACTAAAAAGCAAGTTTCACATCATCATTAATCCAAAATGGAGCTTGCAAAAAATGGTGACACATGCTTCTTAAAATAAGATCAGCCAAAAAAATACAACTAATCTCAACAAAAAAAGTGTCATCCACAAAAAAAGTCAACCTTCCATAGATGGCTTCTAACATATTGATGATTCAGTTGGTGATGGTGTTTTTGGTGGCCTCCACCTTGTTAGTGGTCTCCACATTGTGCGTGGCCCAGCTGTTGTATTTGAAGATGATGGCCTCCACATTGTGTGTAGTCCAACTGGTGCAATTGGCCTCCACATTGTGTGTGGTCTAGCTGGTCCAACTGGTGTAGTTGAAGATAGTGTTTCTGGCCTTAGTGGTATACTTGGTGTTGATCGTGTAGCAAATGGTGATGTATCTTTGTTCCTCCTAACCTGATGGAATGCATAAATGCAAGTATGGAATGCAATAGTGTATTGGTACCAAATAGAAAAATAAAATCAATTTCAAACAAAATTACATACAGGTAACTTCATTCTTGGTGTTGCAGATGATGTTGCAGGTGGTGGTGATGTAACTATTGTGAAGATCTTGTTTAATAAGTTGATGCAGGTATTGTGAATTCACTATTTGAAGATCTTGTTTAATAAGTTGAAGAAACCATGCCCAAGATTTTTTTGTTTCTTTCTCAATTACAGCAAATGCAATGGATACATTTGGTTGTTGGCATCAATTCCCACTGCTGCAAGCAAAATTCCAACCTATGGCCCCTTTAGATGACTTCTATTTATTCCAATTAATGGCCTACATCCCTCAAGTAATCCCCTCTTCAGTGCCCCATAACATACATATAACCGTTTGAACATAAATTGATCTCCAGCTACAGACTTAGTTTTAATAATGCAAGTGGTCCCTATGTTTGTTCTCCTTAACTCCTCACAATAATCCCACAACATTTTGAATTGTTCTTTATCAGTCTCATTCACCATTGTAATTGCTTTTTGTTTGGCTCTATATACTAAATTGGGATGTTACTTCACTACATGTTCTTTCAGAATTGTTTATTTCAGTGACTTAATAGGCCAGGTTGGATTTGATATAATTTTGTCAATGTATATACTTGCAACCCACTTTGTATTGGCATGCTTCATTTTAAAATTCCTGTTGCAACTATGTCTACCAACGTAAGTTTTTACCTGCATGATCATCTTTGAACCCAATCTTGAAGCATATATCATCCAATCACAACCTGATTTACAAATTGCTCTCACCCTATACTTCTCATTTTTTGCAAATCGTACTTGTTTTTCCCATTTGATTGCATGTTGTCTCACTGCTGCCCTGAACTCAGTTGAACTTTTAAATAACATTCCTAGCTTAAACTGTGGGTCGACAATATCAGCCTTAGCATTGAAATGTGGATACTTAACTTTCTCATCCCCCATTTCATCCTTATCAGATGAGCTACTAAAACTTTCCAGCTCATCAAACTCACAATCTTCACCTCTTAAACCACTGTCATTGTCTATTCCTGTTGCCTTAATATTCTGATCCCCTTTTTGTTTGTTACTTTCAACCCTTTTCCCCTTCCCTACAAAGTTAGAATAATCATCAACTGCATTCTCATACAACTAGGAATTCTCTATATCATATTCACTATCATAAAAATATTCAGACCTAGAAAACTCACCTTATGAGCATTCTTCACTGTCATCTTCATCCTTATTAGAAGAACTCTTAGATGTTACCCCATTACCACAAGTTAACTCAGCTTGACTAGGGTTCAACATACAAGCCTTACTGTGTTCCACATAGATCAACCACTCTATTACTATTTGCCCACTTCTCAAGTTCCATGATCTGCTGATCATTTTTCAATAGCCCTCCCCCCTTTACTAGCTCTATGATAGTATTTTGTATTCTCAAAATAACCTACTCCAACATTTTTCAGCATGTTGTTCAACTCTATTAAAGATATTTGGTCAACATGACACATATCAAAATGGTTCCATCTCTCACATGTGTACACTTTGTCACCATAACCCTCAAATTTACCACTATGATGCATTTTTATTGTAAAATAATATGTGGCAGCTTTTGCATAAACAAATACTAACTTATACAAAAAAAACATTTAATATTCAACACTTGAATATAAAAATCAACCCACGTAAATCAAATAGCTTCTTGCAGACAAAACAAATCACATAAAACCAAATAACTCAAGCCCACACAAACACATAATATATTATAACTTTGAAAACAATCACATAAAAAAAAGAAGAAAAAATAGAAGCACACCATTAAAACTGGAACCATTCCAAATGGAAACAAACAAATTTTCACCATAAATTGACGACTTCTATCAAAGTGGTATATCACAGTTATACTCCCGTACAACCCAAGACATTTGATCGATCTCCAAGGTCAACAGCTTCGATTGTGTTCCACAAACAAGGTTAGCAGCTTCGATTGTGTTCCAACCAACACAAGCACCTTCGTTTCTCTCCTTTTTTGAGACTGAGAAGGGGGTTTTCAGATGAACCAATACCATGTGCAACTCACACGAGATTAAGGAATGTGTTTTTATAATTCAATCCCTGCAAGAATCACATGCAAATCGTCTGCTGGATTTTCAGACGGTTAATCGAACAGACGTTTGGGACTGATGCACATTGCATCGTTTTTGTGACATTCAGGGTACAAATTGAAAAATTTTATCTTTCAGAGTGTAAATTAAAAATTTGAGAATCTTTGAGGGTACAAACTATGATTAGCCCTCCAAAATATATATCACATGATCCATTAACATGAAATAAAACTATAGAGTATGAATTTTTATTAAGTTACTCGTGTAGTAAATAAATGGACCTAACATGATACAATTAATATATGAATTTGGTATAAATAAAGTCAATTAAAAGAAATACAAAATACGACTTGTTTATATATCAATTATATATGGTTTATATACGACATGAATTGGATATAATACAAATTAATAAATGAATAAAGTATGAATTGAGTATTTTTTAAAATAAACCTGCAAAAATTTGATACGAACTTGTCTCAGCCGATACAATTGATAAGTCTACATTAACAACACCAACACAAACCTCATTTGGTTACGATATAGTAAAAAAAATTATAGTATTAGTTAAAACGGGCTAATTCTATATAAGCGAATAATATATAAAATTAAATATGTAATAAAATTAATACTCATTGTAATTCAATGTTTCGACACTAAATAATGATGAGATAATAGAGTCTTAATTATATATTGGCAAAAAAATCATCAATCTTGTTTAATTATTCATGTTTTTATTTATTTGGTGGGTAAAATAGTAAATTTATAACTTAATACCCTTGCATTAGACTATATTAATACCACATCCCAATATGGTATTATAATTGACTCAATACTACGGATAAAGTGCATTATTTGGATAAACATTCAAAATAAGACTATATATAATACAAAACATTTTTTTGTAATAAAATGCAGTATAAGGTTGAATTATAAAATTTTAATTTATTATGACTCATTAATACACCCATTAATACGGAAACCAAATGATTCAAAAAATGGTTTAAGTCTTCCTTAAATCATATGTTTATAACTCATTTATATATCAATTATACATAATTTAGATACAACACAAATTTAATATGGTATGATTCATTAGATACAAATAATTTGTATAATAAATCAGATAGATATTTGAATTTATAAAGGGTATATTTTTTTTTTCAAATTTTACACACCCAACACACTTTTTCCCATCAAATTTTAAAAATTCAACACACACTCTATAACACACAATTACACATACATACACACACTTCAACACATATTTTAATGCATGCACGTTGTTATAATTCAATATACAATAACTTTAGTTATGGAATATTATTAGTTAATTTATAAGTGGACTATTTTTTTACGTGTTTCCGTACAAATCCGTTTAATTCGATACGATAGATAGATGAAAGTACAAAGTACAAGGCAACCCAAGTCCAATTTAGGCCTGTAAAATGTCCAACCCGACCAGCCCGAAATGGCCCGGCCCGTTTACTTGAACTTTTGAGTTAAATAGTCCGAATCTACAATGTCCCACTGTCCCTCACCGCCTGACCTCGTCGGCCACATTTACTGCAACACTCTCAACTCCAAGCCATTTGTTCCCAACAAAAAATGGAATTCCTCTCAAGCAAAAAAGAAAAAAAAATGGAATTCCTCTCAAGGTATTCTCAAAAACCAGACTCTGAAAGACCTAAAATCCAAACCCTAGATCGAATCACTGTCTTACCAGACACAATTCTCCTTCACATTTTCTCTTTCCTACCCATGGAAGATGTTGTCAAAACCTGTATACTATCAAAGCAATGGAGGTTTCTTTGGACTACTGTCTCGGCCCTCATGTTCAGCCACCGTAACCAACCTGATGAAGACCTCTGTAAGTTCATCTCCTTTGTGGACAAAACCCTGGTGTTAATCAACTGTCCTAAACTGAAAATTTTTTCAGTTGATTTCGCATACCACCGTCGTTTTTCTGCTGATGTTAATGTCTGGCTTTGTTTCGTTACGAAACATGGTGTGGAAGAGCTCAAATTGGATTTTTCCAACAAGCATAATTTTGGGTCTGGTCTTTTTCAATTGCCTCAGCATTTGTATAGTAATGGGTCGTTTGTGAAATTGAGTTTATCAATGTGTGGTATTGTGCCTAAAGGGTTGATTAGTTGGAAATCACTGAAGAGTTTGACAATTGGGTCCACGGAGTTAAGTGGTAATATGATTGGAAACATAGTGTTGGGTAGTCCTGTTTTGAATTTTTTGGAGCTGTTTAATTGTTGGGGCTTCGATAAGCTGGAGATTAATGGTGGGAGTTTGAGGAAATTGGTGATTAATGGGTATTTGAATCAGAAAAAAGGGGACTCTGTTGTTGAGATTTGGGCTCCGGGTGTTCGGTCTTTGGATATTTTGGGGTGTTTACATGGGAAAATTATTCAACTAGAGAATATATCGTCTACGGTTGATGCTAAGCTGGATTTCTACTTAACAAAGATTAATCATGACGCTGATGATGATTTTAAAATGGAGAAATTTATGTTAAGTGATATGCTAGTCAGCATTCAGCTTATTAAGTATCTTACATTTGGAACTTGGTTCATTGAGGTTTGTTTCCGCCCTAAATTTAATTCGTCTCGTTTTGCTTTTCCCATCCATGTCCTGCATGTTTTGCTTTATACTTTGATTGGTTATTGTAAGATTTGTTGCTCAAATATGCAGAATATTTCTTACTGAGAATGGGGAATGCCCTTGTGTGCCTTTTTTGCTACATATTTAGAATTAAAACTCGTGCCTCATAAAAGTTGTCTTTATCAATGCAATTCTCTTAATTCTTCACTTTGGAATGATATAGACATCAAAATTTTATTGTGTCCTTTAAAATAGTTCAATATGCCTTAGAGGCCTACAGAAAAGGAGTTTCATAATTCTTTGTGCATTGTTTTAAGTAGCTCTACCGAATGATTAATAAAAACAGGAGATCGACCAACAAAAAAACATGGCATTCATGACCAAAAGAAAAGAAGGAAACAAGAAAGCTAATGACAGGGCAATCAACATAATCAATGATATCGGTATATTTGACTTGTAATAATATTGCTTTAACACTTTAGTTATTTAACAAGAAGTGGTTTGTAATATCACAACTGCTGCTGTTGTGGTCATGTTATTTATTGCTGTTATCCATTTTCCTATGTGTGTGTGTGTACGCACATGCAAATTAACAATGAATGACCATTGCATTTTCAACTATCACAGTCTTCTTTGATCTAATTCATGGTAGAGTTGTAAAAGCACGATCTCATATCTTGTGCAACAGTTATGGATATACGTTACATCTTGTAGACCAATAGAAAGAAGGACGCCAAAGTTTTAGTTCATATAAGAATGCATAAAGTCAGCATTGTTGCTCGTGGGATATATCAATAAGGATGACAAAGCTCATCTCTATTTTGTTAAGTTTCATTGTAGAACTTCGGAACAATAAGAAATGTCTTCTTCCAGGATGTTTTATGCACAGATTAGTAGTATTCACAGATTGGATTTATCTTGTTCATGTGTGGCTTCTTTATCTTCTTGCTTTGATTGGCAGGTTCTATCCATGCTGGAGATTAAAGGTTTGCCATCTGTCTTGCCGAAGTGCAAACGTTTAATGCTACATACTCCTATCCAGGAACGGTACCTCTCTGGGATAGTAAACCTGCTACATAGTTCACCTGACGTGGAGACATTAATCATAAACATGACCCCACCATCTTTTGAATTTGAGGTTTGCTTTCTGGAGACATTTTTCCCATCTATTTGTTTTACATTCATAACTCGAGGTGTGCTTAGATTGGTTTTTAATGATTGATAACTGCCAATCAATCTCTCCTTTCCCCTCGTATTATAATTCCTATCAATTCTAGATGTCGCGGTGACTACGAGAATAGGCAGGTGTTCCATGTTTATCAGAATTTTAAATGGGCTCTTCTAGAGTTTGGAGATGGAGTTTTCTGTTGATCTGATGTGCTCCCACATCCCAATATTTTCACATTCTATTTCTTTTCTTGCAATTATATCTAAAGTATATGGGAGTCTTTACTGAGACTATCACTGGTGATTTGTCGAGGTTGCTTTAAGTGACTCCCTATAAAATTTGATTATATGCATTGCAACCTATTAGATAATATTGGTTTAACGGAAATCTTCGTCTGTAGACCTGCTTCAATGCAAAAATTTCCAACTTTTTCAATGTTGATGGAGAGAGCTATTGGACATCAAAACAGAAGCTTTTCAGATGTTTGGACCTTCGTCTCAAGACTATTAGGATTTCTGGCTTTGAAGGCAGGCACTGTGGACTTGAGATTCCATTTTTACAATTTCTTCTTAAGAGTTCAAGGGCATTGGAAAAAATGGTCATCAATGGTCGTGGTGTTGGACAAGATGATTTGGTACGTGGTGCATTTCAAGACCAGCTTCAGGTGGCTGAAAGCTTATTAAGCTTCCCTAGATCCTCTAAAGGTGCTGTAATTATATTCAAGCATTGATATTCTTTTCATACTGCTACATTTTCTTGGATGTTGTTTAGTTTACACACATACCTAAACCTGGTGAACTTTCTCTTTGTTGTATACATTGTATAATCGGAAAATTTTGGGTTGTGTTGCACTTGAACTGATTCATTTCATCGTGCTATCTTGTTGCTTTCTGAGAAATTTTTGTATCAAGTACTTTTGGGGGTGGAATTGAATCAGCAAAAAAATTATTGTACAAGTGCTTAAATTTGAAATCACTGGATACCCTATGTGTGTTCTGCCAAGGGTATACTGGCTCAAGGATATATTAGGTTATCAGATTATTGGAAAATGTTATTTTTTTTGTGTCGATTTAGCAATTCTGGGAAGGGTTATTATTTTTCCACACGACTTAGAAAAACTTCCTCGGCATTAAGATGAACCACCACCACCACTCCTGCCAGTCTTTAATTAAAATTGGAGGATTCACTAAATTTTTATATGGTGAGGATCTATCTATATTAACAAATCCTCATTGTTCATAAGGAATTAGAGTATACTACATTTGTTTCATCGTTGATTATGAGACCACCACCTCCCTTCCTATTTAAGCAAAGGTGAGTGATAAGCATAGGCTACGTGTAGGGCAATGAGCCGAGCTTGAACGAGCCAAAAATAAGCCGAGTCCAAGTATTTACATATAAAAGAATCGAGCCTATCGAATTTGAGTCGAGTTTGTAGAACTTGTTTTCTAAACGAGCCTAAAAACTTGATCAAGTTCGGACTCATTTAGAAAACAAGTCGAAACCAAGTTAAACTCAAATAACTTAGTTTGATTAATACCCCTAGATGCGTGCTAGAATGACAGTGACAGCGTGACCCGTTAGTGTGGTTTTTTTTCCCTTTATTTGCTTGTGAAAAAAGGAGAGAGGACAAATAAGTTCATTCGGAGAGTAATTCGATAGACTCTCATTAGTGAGATCATGAGGTTTTTAACCGTGTCTATTATTCCTCTCAGGAAGAACTTAGTTATAGTTAAGCTAGCATAATGTAATAACCATCTCACGTATAAAAATGATGTGTACTTTGTCCATTTCATTTTTTCTTATTAAATAATGACACTATGTAACGACGATAACGTGATATTGTTGCTTTAGGTACCTAAATCTGCTACAAGTTGGAGTTCACAAATACTGGCTTGTCAGTGAAATCCTCCAAAAATGTGGTCAACTCTTTGTTGGCCTGCAAGTTGGTACATCCATTATAGAATCAAGCCACCCCATTTCGTCTCTTCCCATGACCTAATGATCACTAAATATAAGTGGCCTCAAATAATTGTTACCTAAAAAGTATTTTGAGGACCTAAGCACAACAGGAATTCAATCGATTTGGACAACATTCCAAATGGTTTACGGGTGATTGAACATAAAAATAATACATGTTTGCAAAGAAAAATATTATTTGAATTTAATTTATTGATCTTATATTGTGACTTAATACATCATATATATTGAATTAATAATGAATTTTAATTAATAATAAAACGTGGGACTAAGGTGTTGCTGCACTAAAAGTCCGTCAAATAATTTACAAAAATGAGTTAACTATTTATTTGACTTTTGAATTATATCATTTGTGTTAATCAAACTCATATACTATAATTTGTGTCAATTTAACCTTGAAATTATACTATTTTATGTCATTGTTGTAACCCTTCCGCTAAATTCGTTGTTAAATTTGACAGAATTTCTCGTGTATATAATACGTGATCTCTAAATTATACCCTAATCCCTGACCCGTGTGATGCGCACGTGAAAAATTTCATTGAAATTAACCACGAATTTAAACAAAAGGGCTACATTAACATAAAGATGATGAATATGGTGGAAACGTTGACGGGGTAGTTTGAGATGATGAAGATGATAATTTTGGGGCTATATTTGTTTTTTTTTTTAATTTAAAATAAAGGGTATTAAGGTTATTATATTTTCACACTTAACAAAATTAAATGTTCATTTTAGTCCATCAACCATAAGAGAGTTATGTGCTATTTTCAGACCTTAGGGAGGTTATGTGCAATCAGAGTATACCACGAGGGGATAAAACGAAGTTTCCCTTTTTTTTTTTTTTTTGATCATCCAAATAAATAGTTAACTCCACACAAATTGAAGGTTCTGTCCAACCCAACGGGAAAATAGACTGAGCTTCGGTTTCTCAGTCTATAAAAGAAATCAATCTCTCACCTTTGTGTGAAAAATCAGATTAATACCCACGTCAATTCCTTCACAATCGCACCTGTACGGTAAGTGAAGAAATCAATCTCTCAACTTGTTTGAGAAATCAGATTAATACCCACGTCAGTTCTTCACACAATCCCACTTGTACGGTAATTGAAAATCTCTCTTACTGTGCTTAACCGTCTATATCATTTGTTTATCATCTTGCCCATTCATTTCCCCAATTTGTTTTCAACAGTTAGATAATATGTGAATTTGATTATGGCTTAATGGGTTTTATTGATTCCATCAGAACACTCTCTCTCTCTCTCTCTCCCTCTCTCTCACAGAAGCTCCATAAGACAAACTCCACAGCACCGAAGCTCCACAGCACCCCGAATTTCGTCTTTATCAATCACAGAAGCTTCACCGTCCACCCATGTATGTAGTTCTCTCTCTCAGAACCTCTGTGTATTTATACCACAAAAAAACCCACCGAAAATCCACCGAAAAACCCAGCGAAATCTGTCTTTCGGTTCTCTCTCGCTGTCTTCGCTCTGTTCCGGTTTGGTGGAGAGAAGAAATTAGAAGTAATGAAATTTTCTTATTATGAAAATTTTTGCTTGGGTTTTGTGGAATGAGTTGCTTGGGTTGTGTGCAATTTTTCTGGAATTTGTCCGATATTTTTTCTGATTTTTTTTTGTTAGCTATGAATTTTTTCTGGAATTTTTATGATTTTCTGGTTTAGCAGTGAATGACAAAATCTAAGGAAATGGTTTGAACTAAAAACACGATCTATGAAAATTTGTGAATTGTGGTTGAATTAGTTAAAGTTAATTGAAATAGTCAGTTAAAATAGAGAGCTTTGTTAGAGTGAATTAGTAGGAGTTGCTCTTTAAAATAGATAGTGTAATAAAAAAGTATATTTTGACTAGCTATTTTAGATAGTATCCTATACAAATAAATCCATCAACTAATTTGTGTTTCTATTTCAGATATATTGTGTTGGGGGATATATATGCAGAGTTCCTTTTGTTAATTGCATTGTCCATGGCCAATTCTTTGAGGAAGGTAGTGTCAAGTGTAATCCTTGACTTGGATGGTACACTTCTAAACACAGGTGGGCTTCTTTTCTTGAATAATGTCTAGTATATTGTGGGAAGCATAATGTTGATTGTTCCTTTATGAAGCCAACCAATAATGCAATCCACCAAAGATACATTAAATTCTGGAATTTTCCTAATGTAAACATCATTAATGTACAGTTCTGATGTGTGCCTATAAGCTGCACATGGAACATACAAATCAGTTCTTCTTCTCATATTACTGTTTGGTTCGGCCTTTCCTTTGGTCAATGTCGAGCTCTGACTGCTGCCTGCTTACTTTAATGTTAATGTTTTTTTTCCTGTTCTATTCATAATCCAATTTCTATTTCATGGCAGATGGCATTGTAAGTGATGTTTTAAAAGTTTATTTGGTTAAGTATGGGAAGCAATGGGAGGGAAAAACAGCTCAAAGAATTGTAGGAAAGACACCTTCAGAGGCTGCAGCTGCAATTGTGGAAGATTATGAGCTTCCCATACCAACGGATACACTTATGTCAGAAATTTATCCACTGTTCTGTGATCAGTAATTCTCCTGTATCTTAACTTTAATTGTTAGTTATCTGTGTCGTCCAAAGACTTCTAGTATGGTGGTTCATATAACTGAAGCCGTAGAAATTTCAGTTTACATAGACAAAGAGATATATGCAGGTTTTAACAGCGTAAGTCCTCCCAATCATTATTGAGATGTGAAGCTTTCTAAATTTTGGGAAAGAAACTCTGGTGGTAATGGTCCCACCCCAACACACATCCGCACCTACCCACCCTCCCACCCCACACAAACAAACAAAACAATCCAGGAAACAAAAATCATTTTACCCCTATTTTATTTATTTTTTGATAAAAGAAGAATTTATTAGAAAAGGGAATCGAAAAAGAGGATACATTGTGGAGGACAAGATATCCTAAAAAATAATAAAAACGCAATATAATGAATAACTATGGGTTGACAATAAAGCAACACCGCAGTCCAATCCCATTAAAGATTCGACAGAGGTAGCCCTGTAAAACTTCCTGTGGCTTTGGTCCATAGAGAAGCCATAAAAACAACTCTTTCCTATACTAACTAGAAGAATATGATCATTGAATATTCTTGTATTCTTCTCCATCCAAATGCACCTAAGTAGTGCCATCAAAGCACAGTTCCATAGTAGTTTTGCTTCATTTTTCTTTCCAAAAACCCAAAACTTAATGTGCAACAATTCTTCTACTGTAGAAGGATAAACCCAAATCTCACCGGCCAGCTTGAATAAATTATTCTACTAAATTGCATTGGAAATTACATCTTCCTTCTTATGGTGGATGTGGGTGCTGGGTCTTAAGATATCTTGGGAATACTAGGAGAGAGTTCTTTAAGGGAGAGAATGGGTTAGGGAATCATCAGTTTGCTTGATGTTTCTGTTCACTGGTTTTCTTAAAGTAGTGGGTTTTTCCTTAGTCAAGTATGTAAAAATTTTGGATTTTGTGGAACCAAGTAGGAGATATGGACTACACTCTGGTGTTAGTTTCATGCAGACTGATCATAAATTCTTAATTGCCCTCCTCCCTTCCCCAAAGTTTGTTCTAAATGCATTAATGCAATTGTCATTGTAGATGGGGCAGTATCAAAGCCCTTCCCGGTGCCAATCGGTTAATCAAACATTTGAGGGGCCATGGCGTCAAAATGGCATTGGCTTCAAATTCCCCTAGGGCAAACATTGAGGACAAGATATCTTACCATCCTGGTATGTTTTAGAGACCTCAACCATGTTCTTCTCTAACAGATGAGGAAAATAAGCTAGTGGCATTATGACATGCAATGAAAAGTTCTTGCTCTGTGTATGTTATTCCTGAGCTTATTTGCCCATTATTTTCCCTTCACAGGCTGGAAAGAATCCTTCTCTGTCATCATTGGCGGTGACCAAGTAACTGCAGGAAAGCCATCTCCTGAAATGTAAGGGACAAAACACAGGAGTTGGTCCTGATTTCAACATTGGTTGTTTCTTGCGGAAATATGTCATGGATATGTTTTTCTCTGACATTCTAACCTTATCAGTTTTACTATTTTTAGATTCCTTGAAGCAGCTAAAAGGTTGAACAGTGATCCTTCCAGCTGTCTTGTCATTGAAGATTCAATGTGAGTTGCTTTTGATTTCTTTTAACAGCACTCAGTTGTCTTTTTGTCCAATTATCTTGAAAGATCCATATTGTGTTGAATGGCATACCCTTAGCATTTCTGAGAACTTATGCGAAAGAATCAATTAGGGACTTGGTAGATGTTGCCCCTTATGATTTTTATGCTTTTATTAACCATAAAATGTTACTTGAAAGTTGTTCTTTGCATGCTTAATCAGAATTTTTGTTATCTTTGCTAACTCATATTAATCGGCATAATTACTAGAAAGTTGAATTCCTTTGAAGATGGTGAGGAGGTAGAATGTAGTGAATTAATGTGCTCTTCTCTTTGAACAAGAAAGCAGTTAAATTAGGTTGCACTTACATAAACTACATATGGAACAGGTTGTGGGAAGCGGTATTTATTTATTTTTGATAGGAAACAAACTCTTGTATTAATAAAAAGTAAAGGATAAGTTACAGAAAAGAAGTTGGATAAGAGATCTTACTGAAAAATAAGTACAAAAAGAGCCAATAAATCACGTGAAGCTCTCTATCTCGCTAAAATAGCAAAAAAGGGAATTCCATTGAGCTCTTTCGTTACTGAAGCGCAAAAAGATGTTAAGTAATGAATACGGTTCCGCATTCCATCCACACATTCACTTCGATCTTCAAAAATTCACATATTTCTTTCTTTTCGAATGACTCAAAACGTAACCATTGTAGCACAATTCCAAAGAGTAACACTTTTATCAAGTCTTCCCAAACTATTTATATCTTTCAACAAACAAAGAAGTTGAAGTTGCAGGAATCACCCAACTCAAGCTCACGCTTCACGAAACGGATGGTATAACAATGTCAAGGCAATTGAACAATGTAGAAAAAAATGGTCAATGCTCTTGAGATCATATTTACACATCACACACCACTATGGGGAAAGACAAGAGTGAGACCTTCTTTTCTGAAGCATGTCATTAGTGTTTTATCTTACCATGCATAACCGTTCATGTGAAAATTTGTATTTTAACAGGGAC